CAGGCAAGAGCTGGAATTGTGTTAAAAAAAAAGCAGAGGAACTAAATTTAGCCCTCTTGGCTGTGTGTGAATGTGTGCTCGAGGCACACTGATGTCTGGGTTCACCCTCTGTTTCTAGCTGCTCTGTGACCTTGGCTGGGTCCCTTAGTCCCACTGCATCCCCAGCCCTTGAATCTTCTCCTCTTCTGCTCATTGCTGCACTGCCTGTGGGTCTGGCAGTGTCTTGGGCATCCTGCATCACAGCCTCTGCTCCCACTCGTTCTCACAGCCCTGCTTCCCATCTCCCCTTGGTGCTCCCAGCAAAACAGCTGGACCCATCTGCCTGCTTGGAAATGGGGCACAGGGAGTTGTTACCCCACATCCTCCCATGATGCTCAGCCTTGTTGGTCCCCATGGGGCACACGTGTCTGGGGCACAGAGGACAAATCTGAGTCATTCCCATCCTGGATGTTTAGCCAGTGCCCATTGTCCTGCCCCTCCCCATGTCCCCCCCTGGGAACCAAGTGCCTTTTAATATCTGTGGCCCGTTTCCTTAGCAACTGCATTAAGCAAATCGATGGAGGTGGTGTCATTGGAATGGGAGGGCATGCCTCCTTCCCCCCTCAACCCCCCTATCCTTGCCACCCCCCCGCACGCCTCCCTCCACTTGGCCTCTCTCCACCCTTACTCGCAGGCACAACCCTGCTTTGCCTGGGCTCTCGGCCGTGGCTCCTTGAGCCGCCCGCCACAGCCTCACGCTGACCCCCCGCTTGCCCACAGCCGATGGCGGGTGCCCCAGAGTAGAGGGGTGACAGCCGATCCCCTACCAGGGACAGGGGCAGGTGTCCCTGGGGATGTGTGGCCTGGCGGCTGTGGTGCTGGGGTGACGGGGCTCCAGGACTGTGGTGGGGAGGGGTGGGGGAGTGAGGGGCCATGAGACACCCCCACCATGAACCTGGAAGGCCTTGAGATGATCGCGGTGCTGGTGGTCTTGGTCCTCTTCGTCAAGGTGCTGGAGCAATTTGGCCTCTTCGAGCCTGTGTCCTTGGAAGGTAACGGGTGTGGGTGGTGCTGGTGCCTCCAGGAACATGAGGGGCAGGCAGTGGGTGTCCAGAGCTGCCTCTAAGGATGCTCCAAGAGTGCTGCATCCATGAGAGAGTGAGAGTCCTGCGACGTGGTGTTTGTCTGCTGCTTGTAGAGGCATAGGATGCAAGGAGTGGGGTGTCCTGCCTGTCCCAGTGGCTGAGGATGTGGGGAGGGGACAAGGCTGGCAGGGTGTCTGCTGTATGGTGGTGACTTTGATGTGTGCTGGGGTGTTGTGGGCTGGGACTGTGTGTAAGTGTGCATGTGGGCACTGGGTTTTTTTCCAGCACCTCTACAGGACTCAGATGTTATCAGAGACCATGGTCACCTCACTCTGCGCATGAGGTGTCAGACTTAGCACCAGCTTGCAGAGCAGCCAGGCTCAGGAAGGATGGGTATCTGCTGGGCTCCCTGCTCCTGGCTCTCCCCAGGGCCCCCTGTAGCCCTTGGGCAGGATGGAGGGACACAGAGGGGGCTGTCCAGCTGGGGATGGGCAGTACAAGGTGCTGAGCAGTGTGCACAGGACGCACTTGTTGGAATCTGGATCCGCTTGGGGGATTCTACACATGGTGGGAGGGAGGTCAGGACCGTTTGGCTAGGTGCTCCCTGGGTTCCCAGGGTGATGTTTGTGTGAAGGGTCCCCCCAACCCTGCCCAGCCTCTGCCCATGCCAGCACTCACCCACCTGAAGGATGCTGCAGCCTGCCCAGCCCCTGGCATCAGGACATGCACTGGGTGAGGGTGTGACAGACAGTTTCCCTGGTCCACTGGTACCCTGGAATGCTCTGCTCTGGTTCTCCAGTGCTAACTCTCACACGGGCTGGGTGTAGTGGTGAATGCTGGCTCCCCTCCACAAACAGTGCCAGGGCACTCCCTGGCAGCACTCTTGGGCTGTACTTGTGGATTGGCTGTGCCTAGGGGTGGGGAGTGAAGGAGCAAATGGGGGGTCTTCTTCTGATCTTGCAAACCTGCTTGCAGGACAGGAAAGCTTGGTGGGTGAAAGTTTTTGTTACTGCTTAACTGCTTGCTATGTCCCTGAGCTCCAGCAGCAGTACTCCTAGGTGGATCATACCAGGAAGAAAACTGTGGCAGGAGCTGACCTGGCAAGCATCCTGCCTTGTGAACCCCAGCAGAGGGCATGCTGATTGTGCCCAGCTTGGACCCCCCTCCCCAGTTCTTCTGGTGATTTGGGGGCTGCCTTCCCCAGACCCTGGTTTCCCCCTTCCCAGTGCTTTTGTTTCCCCTTGTAGCTGCTCGAAGCTTTGGACTAAAGTTGGCATTGACTGCAGCTGTTCTGCATCTCTCAGGTGTGATGGAAAGCATGGAGACAGAGAGCCTCCCATCTTCTGCAGCAACTCTGCTGAGGGGCTCAGGACAAGGCAGGGGCCACTCCTTGGCTGGTGTGGCTCCTCTGTTCCCTGGGGTGCACTTCTCATCCACCTGCAAGTGACTTTTCGCTGGCCTGGGACAGGGCAGGAGAATGGAGATGGGGTGCCCTATGTCCAGCCTTGTCCCCATCAGCTGTCACCCCTCCAGGGGGGCAGTGGCATGCCTGTCCCCAATCACCTACATTCCCATAGTGGGGAGCTGCAGCTCCCTTTGGCCTGGCTCGAGATGCACCCCAGCTGTGGCAGTGAGAATGGGACCCAGGTGCCCTGGATTGCCAGCAGCTGCTCCCATTGCCTAAAGGTGTCCAGAGGAGAGGGAAGCATATTGCTGAGGTTGAGCTGAGTCCTGGGCACTCTATGAGGATTTCTGTGTATGAATGGCAGTGTTTTGGCATGCGGCTGAGATCCTGTTGCATGGGTCACTTCCCCCCGTCGACTTGAGAGGCAGGAGGTAGGAGATTTTGTTCTCTGTGGAAGGTCCTAGGCAGTGTTTGGGGCTGAGAAATGCTGTGTCCACTTTAGGGATTGTTTACAAGCCATGGCTCGGTCGACAGTGGCAGCCCAGAGACCACAAAGAGCCTGAAACCAAACACTAATGGTCAGATCTGCTAATGGACACAGGGCTCCACCACCTGCTCCAGAGCCATTGATGCTGCCTGCTGCGCTTCCCCTGCTCTGGCTGGTCCTCTGCCTGCGGTTGTCTGTCTGCCCAGGTTGTGCTGGTTTTGTCCTGTGGACAGATTGTGCTGGGATGCATCCTGCCACCACAGCGATGGGCTAGGAATGGAGCACCTCCAGACGGGACTGGAAAAATACCCAAGCCCTGGAGATGGGTTAAGTGGGAGTATCTTGCAGACAGACTCTGTCTGCCCTTGGGGGAACTTCAGGGTTAGTGGGTTCCCAAACTCAGCTGGATGAGACCCTGAGCAGACTGTCCTCCATTTGGAGCTGGCTCTTCTCTGAGCAAGGGCTTGGACAGAAGCACTGACTGGCTGCACCCCCTTGCCCTGTCTGCTTGGCACTCTGTCCTCTTGGACCCTGCACAGCCTTGGTGGCACAGGCACAGCCATTTCTGGCAGCAGCAATGGAGCATCTCCCCTGAGTGCACTGTGCTCCAGGATCTCCAGGGCTATCGATGCTGGAACTGATGTTGTTTACCAGCTGGATAATCAATGATGGACTGTGTCACTCCATCTCTGCCCTGTGCCACTGTGCCTGTCCCCAGCCCCAAGCATCTCCTGGCAGAGCCATGCAGGGGGGTTCCAGCCCCCTGCCAAGAGCCTGCTTTGGCCAAGCACTTGGGATGGGGTAGAGAGAGGAGGGGGAGAGAAACACTATCAGTTTGGGCTTCTGAAGTGCAGCATCAATAATTCAGAGCAGAGCAATTGGTCCTGGCTGGGAGGGGGGATGGCGGGAGGGAAAAGGCGGGAGAGCCACCCAGCCTCAGATTAATATTAGATGAAGCTGCAGATTGCTGTTGGCAGGATAATTGGTGCCTGCCCAGGGCTGTTCCTGCCTCAGCTGGTCAGGGGCTGTGCAGGGGGAGGCAGGATTGGGGGTGTCTTGGAGAGCCCCCAACACGGGGTGTGCTGGCCTCTGCCTTCCTTTGGTGGGGTGCTGCTGCTGTCGCAGAGCTGAGGATCCGGAGAGGGAAGCAGAACTGGGGATGGTGCCAAACTCCTCTAGAGTCTGGGGAGAAACTGGAGGGGGTGGCAGCCTGCCTGGGTGCCATCAGCACCCCAAAAGATACCAGGCAGGAGGGTGGTGGCAGTGAGCAGTATGGACACCTCCTGATGGCTGGCTCAGGGTGAGGGTTCCTCCAGAGAGGGGAGAAAGTGAGCATCCCTGAGGTGCTGGTGAGAGCAAAGCCCCGTGCCAAGCCCTGCTTTCCTCCTGCTTTCCAGGAACCCTGAATAGGAGTGTTGCGTCTTGGCTGAAGGAGGGACTGGCCTTTAGGGATGTGATGCTGGGGTCCCTGGGCTCAGGGCATCATCCAGCCTGGTCGGTTTGACAGACCCCAGAGGTCAAGGCAGGCTGGCTGCAGAGCCATAGATCTTTGAAATCTAGCCTGGGACAGGTGCAGGTGTTCCGGGTGGAAGTTCTGGCTTCCCGAGAGTGCACCAGAGATTTCCCCATGTGCAGTGGATTTAACCCTTGCTTTTCCTTTTCCAAGGGCTAACAGGTTTTTCACCTGGGCTGGGCAGGGTCTGGTGGCTGCATCAGGATAGAGCTGGCTCATGGTGAGGGCTTGCAAAGGAGGGGAAGCAGCAGGGATGTATGGTACCTGTGATCAGGCCCTGAGCTTGGATCCCAGCATAGCCTTACACTCTAAGTCAGGCTGTAGCTGGGCTGCATCCTGCCGGCACTGGGATCCTGGAGAAGAAAATCTCCCCTCTGTGGAGCCTCTTCCACATGCTCCACACCGAGGGACATCATACCTGGTCATCCCTGTGAACACAGGATGGGATGCACTGTCTCACCCTACCTAGAGGGGGAGTGAGAAGGGGACTTGGTCCTAGGTCTCCTTGGCTGTGACTGCCAGGGCAGGGCAGCTCTCCCTGAGCTCCCCAAGGTCCCCAAGTACCCACGGTGCACCCTGTGCCTCTGCTGCTGCATGGTGACACGTCCTGCTCAGCCCAGCCAGATCTAATTAGCTTGTTGAATCTCTTCTCCCTCCGGCCTTGTGTTAATCACTTTTCACATTGCTTCCCTCTGAATTCCCTCTGGCCTGGCTTGCTCTTGCTGTTGCTGATGTGCCTGGAGAGGGAAGCAAGGGGACCCAGCTGGACATAGAGCAGGGCCCCCACTCTGCTGTGTCCTGCCTCAGAGATGGGCTCTGATCCAGCAGGCAGACGGGTAAGGAGATCACTCAGCCACAGGGAGGTGAGAAAATCACAGGCTGGAGAAAAAGCAATAAATCTAGAGAGCAAAGGAGTCTATTGGGACAACCCTTCTCTGAAGCCCTGCTTGTTGGTGAAGGGTGAAACCTCGAAGTCTAATGAGAGAGGCTGGGGCTCTCTAGCACAGGGTTGTATTGAGTGTTGTGGGAGCTCAGTGGGGTCTCCTTCACCTCTTATCTGTGAAGGGCAAGACTAGACCCCCAAACGGGGCACAGGTGGAAATAGAGGTGCACTGGACTGGGATGTATGAAGTTGTGGTCCCTGGAGTGCAGGTAGCAGGAGGTCTGATGTGCCATCCATGCTTGGCTGCAGCATCGCCTCCCAGGGATGCAGGATAATGTCTCATTCCCCATGGATGCCTGCCCTGGGGCTTGTATTGCTAGGGCAGGCTGTGGACAGATCAGAAGCAGCTTTTTGGGAGAGATGCATAGACATCGAGCTAAAAAGGACTTTCTAATTACCCTTGTTGCCAGGCTGGGGTCTCTGCGCTCTGCTCACAAGGCAGGGTTTTGGGTGGGCTGCAGGGAGCCCCCATCCTGGCTGTCTGCCTGACCTGCTTCCCTCCCTCCAGGTAGCACCCTGTGGGGCACGTTTCCTTCCAGCAGCAAGCAAGATATCCAGGGCTGGCAGCCCCCAGCTGTGGCTGTGACTGACTTGCTTGTGCCCAGATGCAGGTGTTCCCCCCAGGACGTGATAAGGGAAGAGATGAGGGTGGCAGGTGTCCATGGAGGATATCAGCAGACAAGGCTGAGCTCCACGGCACAGAACTCATGTCATGCTGTGGGTCCATGAAAGGCTCACTGTTGGGGTGAAGGTTTGGTGGTTTGCAATGGGGCAGAGGGGTTGTCGTAGGCAGGGCTGGTCCCTGGGCTGGGAGGCAGCACTATCCCAGGAGTGAGTGATGAGCTTGAGGGTCCCTGGAACACTTCAGTGCCACCAGAAGCTGCTGTTAGGGTGGGAGTCAGGTGCACCTGAGCCTCCTACACATAGCCATTTGTGCCAGTTCTGCACCTCTTTGTGGGTTCCTGTGCTGTGGGGTGCCTGTGCCATGCTGTGTAGTGCAGGGATGCCCAGGGTGAGAGCTGACTTCTCAGTCTCTTGGGCAGTCCCATGGGCTCTCTCCTCCCCTGCGGCCTGGGTGCCCCAAGGGACTTCCGAGGGTGCCAGGGCAAAAGGAGGGAGGGCCAAGGCAGGTCTCTCCTCCCCTGCCCTCCCCTCTCTTCCCTTGCTGGGTCTGTTGCTGCCAGACCAGCTGCCTGCTGGGGCTTTGTGCTGGGGTGATGTTGGCTGCTGAGGCTCCCTGGGACCTGCAGGGGCTACAAACAGTGGGCATCATGCTGCTGCTCTGCTCCAGCCTCAAGCTACTCCATGCCCTGGGCATCACTGACCTGACCAGGGAAGATGGGATGGGGACAGGGATGGGGATGGGGTTCCGATGAGATGGGGATATTGTGATGGAGGTGCTCCTCCTGTCCCGAGGGCTGCAGGGTGCTTGGGGGAGGTTTGGAAGGATTAGTGTGATTTGGGGGGGCATTAGGGTGTCTAAGGTGTCTGGCAGCATTAGTGTTAGGATGTTGGGTGGGAATATTTGGGGACACTGGAATGTGTGGTGTTCGGTGCAGGATTCTAGAAAGTTAGGATGTCTGGGGAAAGATAGGGTGGGGGAATTCTGGGTCTGGAGGCACTGTGATGGAGTGATGTGTGGGCTGCTGGGGGATGGGGACTATTTGGACTATTGGAGTCTGGGGGCAATGGGTTGCGGAGGGCTGGTCTCTGTCAGAGGATGGGAAAAAGGGCTGCAGGTAACTGGGGAGATGAATGGGAGCTGGGAGAAAGGAGCAATGGATGTGAGGTGCAGCACCACGTAGGGCAAAGCTTTCCCACTGCTACAGGAATTAGTGGCTGTGGGGGGAACATGGTAAAAGAAGCTAGAGCCCCTTTGCCCTCCCTGTGGGGCTGTGCTAAGACTGCAGAGGGAAGAGGCTGCTGTGGGTGTTGAGCTTCCTGGATTGCCAGGTGGGTGTTGAGGACAGGGCTGGATGTGGCCAAAGAAGAGGACCCAAAATATGTTAGAGCAATGGATACAAGACCTGTTGGTTGTGTCAGGTGAGGGTGGGAGTGCAGGGAGCTACACGGTGCTGCTGCCTTGTTTCCTTTGGCTGCCTTCCTCAACTGTGCCACAGACAATCCAGGCTCAGACAAGGACTGCAAACAGACTTTGTGTGAGTGTGATTTGGGGTTTCTTTGCCTCCATCCCCTCTGCCTCCTTGCTGGCGCTGGGGATGCTGTGAGGTGAATGGACTACAGATCCTATCCCCTTGGGTAGTCAGATCTTGGAATGGGAGCTGTGATAGAAGGACGCGTGGATAGGAGTGATCAGAGGCTGAGCAGAGGGACAGGAGGAGAGGAAGGCACTTTGCCCGTGAGGTGCTTTCAACCCCCTTGTCATGGAGGATGTCCCTGAGCTGCCTGGGATCTGGCTGGGCTGTGGCTGGGCATGTCCAGGTTTTGTCCCTGTGCCTTACTGGGGAAGGTATGGATGGCATCTGTGTAATAGGTATGCAGAGCACCAGTTCTCTTATGAAATATGGTCTTTGCAGCCAAGAGGAGTTACTGCTCTGCTGGGGCATTTTTTTGGGTAGCTCCTCTGGCATTCTGGATGTGCTGCTGATTCCTGCCGCTAGAGAGGTTCCTGTGATGGGATGGGGGCAGGATGTGTCCCTGTGTGTGGGTTTTGCAGCAGGGTGATGTTCCAGTCCTGCAGCCTTACCTGCTCCATTTGGAGAATGCCTGTGCTCCACAGTCCCTTGGCACCTCCATCCTGACTCATTCCCTGCTCACAAAATTTTATACATGGTGTGGCCTGAAGAAATTATTATTCTGCCAACATCTCCTTTGGGTACATCCAGGCTGTCTGGGAGCACTGTCATGGGCTGGGGGTGGGAATGGGGACAGCACTGCTGTGAGCCCTGCTCTGCTCTGCAGCCCCTTCTGGCCCATGGCCCTATCTTCTCCTTTTGGGATCTGCTCAGCACAAGGGTCGTTCAGCTCCTCCTCCCTCTGCCACTGGGGAATATCTGCCCCTGAGCCTCTGCAGTCCCACGAACCATAGGTTTAACTTGGCAGCTTTACTCCTCCCAGCTCTGGGTGTCCAGACTGAGGCTGCCCCTGTCCCACCCCCAGACAAGGACTCTCTGTCTGGCCCCTGCCAGCTCTGATGTCATTCCGCTGATGTCAGCCACAGTGGCTGCTGCAAGGCACCTCGGTTACACTTGGCTCTGTCATTGCTGACTGATGAGGGTCATTTACAGAGCTGCTGCTGGTGGGACCCATCCTGACATCCCCTAGGGTGGCTGGGGGAACTCGCTCTCTCTTTCTTCTGCCAGCCTTCATTGCAGACCCCAGAAAGCTGTGGTTGGTGGCACTGCCTGAGGCTGGGCACTGCCAGGGGTGGGCAGAGCTGGGGGCTGAGGTATCCTGCTTGGAGTTGAGCCTTGCACAGGGATGATCATCAGCCACAGATTTTAGGGGCAGCTATGTTCAACATTGCTGCCCAGATGGACCCAGTGCCATGGCCTGGCAGGGGGAGCCTGGGGACTTGCCTCTGGCCTCCAAGGAAAAGGCGATGCTCTGGAAGGGGATAGAGGCTCTTTTACAGAAAAGAATGTGTTCTGGGAACTGTTGACCTCTTCCCTGTGCTGCCAGGCTGTTTGAAAAGCCCAGCACTCGCCCAGCAGCCTTGTGCCACCCCAGCACTGCTCCTAGGGCAGAGTGCTGTGACAGATCAGCCTTGGGGTACCACCTCCTCCTGATCTGCTGACTTGACCCGGTGTTGCCCCATGGAGCCAAGCAGGGTTTGTGAGAGCTACATGACTGGTGGGCTGCTGGTGCTCTGCTCCCCTCCTGGAATGGTGCATGCCTGGGAGCTGAGCTGGGGACACTGCAGGGGGTCTTGGTGCTGTGGGATGCACATTTTCCACCCATCATGACAATGCATTTATTGACAGGTTACTGAGAGTGATGGGGGAGTTTTGGCACTGCCTGTTGGTTTGTTATTGTAGGGTCTTTTCTAGTAGGAGGATGCTGTGGAAGGGATCTGCTGTTAGTCTTCTCAGCCAGCTGTCCCTCGGAGGGCACTGGTGGCTGTGGCTCTGAGAGGACAGGGACGTCATTATGCATCAGGCTGACCCTGGCTCCTGCTTTTCATCTGGAGAGACTACGGAGCAGCCCAAGCTTGAGTTCTCTCTGAGAAAGGGCTGTCAGCCATGTACAGCACTGTGTAACCCCCCAGCATGGTGGCATTGGCTGGATCCAGCCCCCAAGGACACATCAGCTGTTGATGGCTCAGTACAAAGTGGTCCATGGCTGTCCTGCTGGTGATCACTGCTGGGACCAGGGATCCACTCTTATAGATTACTTCAGTAATCTATAAGAGCCAGTGTGCAGCAGCCTCTGGGATTCATTTCAACAGCATGTGGAGGTGGGAATGGGAAATTCCTTCCCCTTGTTGTGCTGCCCAAGGATGGAGGCTCAGTTTGTGTGTGTATGTATTTTGAAGTTGCCAGGCTGTGGAGTGATGCATGGGAAGCGACAAGCCACTTAACCTGGCAGACCTCCCACCGCAGATAAAACACTGCCAGCCCTTTCCGTTGGCGTGTTCTGTGCCAGCCGCTGGATGGCCCTTGCAGAAGGATGGAGAGCAGAGCGGTATCTGGAAGAGGAGCTGTTCCTGACATGGACAGGACTTGGTGCTGCAGATGTCCCCTGTGCCCAGTGGCAGCTCATGGTTGTACTCCACTCCTGGTCTTTGGGCAGAGCTGTTTCCCAGCAAGGGGGAACCGCCAGATTTGCTTGTGGTTTGGATGCTGAGGACAGAAAGGGGATGGTGTGTCCTACCCAGCAGAGCCCTTGGATACACCAAAGCCAGGACAGCAAAGCCCCAGCCTGGGTCACCCCTCTCCTATTTTTAAGCTGCATGTGCTGAACATGTTCCCTCCCCTGTCCTGGGGACCCAGGAATTGGGCCCCCTTTGGTTTCCTCCTTAAGCAAATGCCTATGTTCTTTATTTTTTTTTCTTTTTCCTTCTTTATAACAAACTAAAGTGTAACTTGCACCCGACCTGACCTACTGCACGTGCCTATACCTGCTGCCCCTGTGAGTCCAACCACAGTTTACTCTCTGTTGCATCTCTCTTGCTGTGTGGTTTCCCTTCTGCCCTGCTCCCTCCCCAGTCCATGACCCTGGCGTTGGGTGTTGCTCTGCCCATCCTGTCCCTTCTCCTTCTCCTCCTGGGCAAAGAGGACATTCCTGCCTACCAGGTCTGTTCCCACAGCTCCACTCTGTTGGAGGGACCTGGCAGCAAAGCATCCTTGGAAAGCTGAAAGGTGCAATTTCCCTTTCCCTCTGCAAAATAAGGCCCTGGAAACATATCTGGGACAAAATCATGGTTTATGCCCACTTCTAGGAAGGAAAAATCCTCTTTCCTCTCCTGCCTGCAAACCCTGGGGCAGACAGGAGCCAGGTTGTGCTTTTATGCCAGTGCCACGATCCTGGTCCTCACTCTTGCCTGTCATCCCCCGACGAATGCCAGGGGGTGCATTTGTTCATTCCTATGTGTTTGCACATCCCTGGCACCCTGCTGTGGATGCCACTTCCCTGGGGAGAGTTTTCCCTGTCTGAGTGGCTTTGTGTGATGTCCTGCTAGGACAAAGACCTCCTGGAGCTGTTCTCCATCCCCCAGAATGATGGATCTCCCTATCCCAGCCTGCTGCATTGGTGTAATCTCAAAGGGTCCCAGGTCCTGCCTGTGGGCACTCAGAAGCCTACCTGCCTAGCTGCAGCTGCTGGATGCAGACCCACATCCCTATCCTCGTGCTGGGTACCATGCAACACCATTTCTCTGTCATCTGGGGCTCATCCTAGACCCCCAAGGCTAAGAAAGCTGCTAGAGAAGCCCCATCTGCTGGCCCCCTAGAGAAACAACTCCAAAACCAGGGTTTGGGATGCGCAGGCATTGTGACCTGCTGCTTGCAGATGTCCAGGATGCTTGGACCAAACGCAGTTTCACCAGAGCCCCAAAGGGACTTTGCACCTTTCATATCATTTGTGCCCCATGCTGCTGTCTGCCTCCCTTTGGGGGCTGGAGCCCAGCATGGCCTTCATCCCCTCCTCTTCCTCCCTTCCCCACCTGCAGCATTAGTCCTGTGCTGAGTTTGCTGGCTTGAGGCACTGCGGGAAGGGAGGGAGCGGGTCTGCAGCCATGAGGGAATACCAAGTGGGAAAGATAGAGCTTAGCAAAGTCATTGGGGTCCAAATGGGGGAATAGGGTGTGGCAGGTGGGTCAGTGCAGTGAGGGGACCTACTATTTATGCAGGGCCACTTGAATGTGATGGCCATGGGCCAGGCTGGTGTGGGGAGCCCCTCACCCTGCCCCATAGCCTGGCCAAGGCAAAGCCCTGAGCCTTGTTCCCCTTCTGGCTGTCTCAAGCAGGTCCCTGGACTCGAGTCCCAGTGTTGTCCTGGGGTGGGGGTGCATGCTGCAGTCTGGACTGCATGGCGGGGTTCAGTGCATGCTTTGCCTTCAGCCTTCAGGTGCCAACAGGATCAAACCCAGCCTGAGCTCGGGGAGGATGCAATGCCCTGGCTCAGCCAAAGGCTATTTCTTGGCCTTCATCCTACCCTGTCTCCCTGCACAACCCTATGGGGAGGGTCCCCAGGGAGCAGATATTTGTCCTCAAGGCTAAAGGGCAGAGTCCAGCTCTGCCATCTCCTGGGTTTCTGGGTGCCTGAGTGTCTCCAGTGCCCCCTGACATGCTCCGATGTGGGGGTGCAGAGGTGCTGAGTGTGGGTAGCTCAGCAGGGTTGCCCCTTTGCCACCCCCATCCTTCCCAAGGAGGGAAATTTGCGTGCCGGGTTTGTCCTGGGATGAAGCAGGAAGGCTGAGCAGAGCCTCGGCTGGGCTTTGCCTTCCTGCTCCTCCAGCCTCACGCTGCATGTGCTGCCTCTGGCCCCACTCACCCCGCGCCGGGTGCCCAACCCTGCTGCCCGCCGGGACCGGGGCCGATGCTCTGTTAACTCTTCTTCTGCTTGGTGACTCCTTCTTTCTTCCAGGCAATCCGCCAGTCCAAACTAAAAAAGCGCTGAAGCAGCGATTCCTCAAACTGCTGCCCTGCTGCCGGCCCAAATCCATCCCCTCGCTCAGCGAAAGCAAGTGCTTCTTCTTGCCTTTGTGTGTGTGTGTGTGTCCCCGGCGGTGCTGCTGCCTGCTCTCCGCCCTGGCCCTGCCTGCGGGAAGGGGACGCCTCCGCCTCTCCCCTGCTCTGGGTTTGGGACTATCAGGATCAATCCTGCCTTGGAGGGGTCCGATCCCGTGGGCTCTGCACCAGCCTCTGTCCTCACCTGCCGACGGGCTGGTTTTCTTCCTCTCCAGCTCCCCGGAGCAGCTCCCAGCGGCAAGACCGGCTTGGGAGCCGGCTCAGGGCAGCCGGACCCTCCTGGCGCTGGTTTAAGGGGTGGGGGGTTGTTGCTCAAAGTTCAGTGTCGGTTTGGAGATGGAGGTGTGATGGGGGGATGAAAAAGGCTGAGCAGGAGTGAGCACAGAGCCACTTAACCCCCTGCACTGGGTGTGCTTGGCTCCTCGGTGAGTCCAAGCCCCTGCTCAGGGTCTCTTTCTGCCCACCGGTGCAAGCCAATCGCCCCTGGGAAAAGGTGAGTATGGAGGGGCAGGGGCTGAACCATCCCACGGAGAGGGGGTACTTGCTATGGGACCACAGCTCCTCTTGGCTGAAGTGGGGTCTGGGGGTGCTGGTTGCTGCAGGCAGGGGTTGTGCAGCTTGACAGATGGGTGGGGAGAAGCCATTGATGAAGGTGGGGGCACAGTGGGCAGGATGGAATCTTGAAAGGTTGGGGCATTTGGGGCTGGGAGTTCTGGAGGGGCAACTCTCCTGCTGGACATGAACCCTGGTGCAGCACAGACCTGCAGGACATCAAGGGCCTCAGCTCCACAGGGCAGACACTTGTGCTGGTGGGAGGAGAAGGGCAGGTAGGGAGGGTTTCAGCACTGGAGGGGTTTCACACCCCCTTTCTGCTCAGCCTGGGCTGTACTGGAGGCTGGGGGGGCTGTTGCCCAGTGTCCATCCCTGGTCTGCCCCTAGGGTCTCTCTGAGTGTCCCCTGCTGGCATAGACATAACTCTGGCTGAGCAGAGCACCCCAAAAATATGTCACCCTGGGCAGGTGTGAGACCATGGGATGTGCTGTCCTGCCCCCTGGCATGACAGGGTAGAGTAGAACAGTGCTGGCCTCAGCTGCCCTCTCTTCCCCTGGGTTCCTTGCAGACAGTGTTGAGGATGAGTTTGAGCTCTCCACCGTCTGCCACCGCCCCGAGGGGCTGGATCAGCTTCAGGAGCAGACCAAGTTCACCCGAAAAGAGCTGCAGGTCCTGTACCGAGGCTTCAAAAATGTGAGTACCCCTTGACCAGCTTTGATAGCCCCACCTCTGCTGCCATGTCCACCTCAGTGTTGTTTTGCACCTGGCAGTGCCCAGTGTTTGTGAAGGCTGTTGGGACCTTGAGGTTGATGTTTATATAAGGCTACAGCCTAATCCTGCCTCCAGTGAGCTCAGTGGGGAGATCTGATCCTGTGCTCCATTTCCTTGGATGCAGAAAGCCCCCTTCCTGGGTGCCTGGAATGCAGAGCCCCTCCAGCGAGGGGTGCAGCCCACAAAATCAGGGAGATGCTCCAAGCAGCCTTACCAGCCACCCCACCAGGTGTGCAGGGCAGGGAGCAAGGCAAAGCAAGGGAGTCACAGGGATTTAGGGTGGTGCTCACCCCCCTCCTGCAATGTGGAAGTGACGCTGTGGCTTGGCCCTGGCAGGAGTGCCCGAGTGGCATTGTCAACGAAGAAAACTTCAAGCAGATCTATTCACAGTTCTTCCCTCAGGGAGGTGAGTGCCCATCCCCATCCCCACGCCCTGCATGGGTGCCTCTGTGAGGCAGGGGGTCACACAACAGTCCCTCATACTGCCCTTCTCCCTGCAGACTCCAGCACATACGCCAGCTTCCTCTTCAATGCCTTTGACACCGACCACGATGGGTCTGTCAGCTTTGAGGTGAGCTGTGGCCAAGGAGGGGGTGATGGGATGGCAGTGGGGCAGGAAGAGTGCATCTCTTCAGGTACTGTGGGCTGGGATCAGCAGCATTGCTGTTGCAGATAGATGAAGAGCTTTGCAGGAGCTGGTGGAGTTTATTAAATTCCCAGAGGCAGTAGAAAAACAGTGAAAAGCAACAAAAAATGGCTTTCTGTATTTTCTGGCTAGTGTCTTGTGTGATATCTAGACTGGCAGAAACAACCATGGCTGTGTCTTGTTCAGGCTTTGGCTGAACAGCAGGTCCTGATGCACAGTGTCCTCTTGGGTGCTGTGACTCAAGGGACCACCGTGGGACATATACGGGGTCAAGCAATTGTTTCTCCCCAGGCTCTATTCGATACCAATATTTCCCTTCTCAGCCCAGCCCGAGGCCACATCTGGGCTGAGTTCCCCTCTGCTGGAGGGACAAGCAGGGCAGTACCCTTTGTGTCTGTGAGGCCCTTTGTGGCTGTAACTCCCATTTGCTTGCCTTATCTATCCTTGCAGGACTTTGTGTCTGGGCTGTCCACCATCCTGCGAGGCACCATTGACGATCGCCTGAACTGGGCCTTCAACCTCTATGACCTGAACAAAGATGGCTGCATCACCAAAGAGGTGGGATGGGGGGTCCAGACAGGTCCCCAGGACCAGCACAGGTTTGCACCTGTCAGGGACAAGGGCAGGACTCGGGAGTGTTGGCTGAGCCCTGGAGGAAAGCTCAGAGGGTCAATATTTAACAGAGCTTAGCTCTGCAAACATGTCCCTCCTGGCTCCTTGGCACTGGTGTGTCTCTGGGATGGAGGGTAGATGAGGGGTGTGCTGCTTTAGGGCTCTATCACACATGCAGGCACACACATGGCCCACACTGTGCACAGAACCAGCAGAAACACATCTGAGCACCCCACAGGTCTTTTGGAAGCATCATGAAAAAGATGTGGGTTGGGGACTGGGTGGAGACAGAGCCCTGTGTTGACCCTGCAACCCTGCTTCCCTTCCCATCAGGAAATGTTGGACATCATGAAGTCCATCTACGACATGATGGGCAAATATACCTACCCGGCCATGCGGGAGGAAGCGCCCCGGGAGCACGTGGAGAACTTCTTCCAGGTGAGTTGAGCATATCCTGGGGAAGCAGAGCTCCAGCACTGAGCCAGTGACTGCAGTGGGTGCAGCAGAAAACACCCCACACTGGGGATGAAGCAGAGCTCTGCTGGTCCTGCTGGGTGCTTGGGGATGGCTGCCACAGAGGTGTGCTGTGTCCACCCTGGGCAGGGGGTACTGGGCTCTCCCTGGGCTGGGGCTGTCCCTGCTATTACCCCTGTGATGTGCTTGTCTGCAGAAAATGGACCGGAACAAGGATGGTGTGGTGACAATTGAGGAGTTCCTGGAATCCTGCCAGAAGGTAAAGCCACCAGCAGCTCTTCTCTGGGCTGGGTCACCACCCAGTGGTGGAGACCTTTGTCCCCCACACTTCCCTCCTGGCAGAGAGGGGATGACGCCAGGGCTCCTAGGGCAAGTCTGGAGCTCTGCTTTGGGAAGTGTACCCATGCTGTCATCCCTGTAGAGATGACAAGAGCCATGCATCCCAGCAGGGCTTGAAAACTGCCTGTAATCCCTGGGGCTCTTGACTCATGTGCCAGAGCTGCCATAAGGGTAAAGCCAAGTTTGGGGGAGCTGCTCAGATTCCTGTTCTGTGCCCAACTTGCCCACTTCCCACCTGCTCCCAACAGGATGAGAACATCATGCGGTCCATGCAGCTCTTCGACAGTGTGATTTAGCTCCCGGACCTGCCTCCAGCTCAGCGCTCCTGACACTGGGCCCAGAACCTGCTTCTCTCTCTTGACTTTTCCTTCGAGCCTCCCCTCCACTGGCTGCACAGACACCCCCGCAGGAAGGGACCTCCCTTTCCGGAGATGCAGTCAGCGCTGAGATCTTCCCTTTCCCCTGAGCTGGCTCTGCTTTCCTCGGGGGATCCCAAGCAGGTGCTCCCAGACATCGGAGCATGGGCATGGCTGGCACAGGATGAGCATTTCACCTGGATGGACCTCCCTGCACCCATTCCTGGTGCAGAAGCTGCAGCCTTGGGCTGCAATAGAGGGTTTTCCCCATGCACACCACCCCGTGCAGCTCCCCTAATCCTGATCCTCCCCAGCCCCAGGAGCCCCCAGTCCCGGCTCCAGCCCAAACCCTCCAGTGATGCTGTCTAGAAACCACTAAAGTCTTGCAAAGGGCCCCAGTGCCTTGGCTTCCTCCCCTGCCCTGGCCGTGTCCTGCCATGGGGAGCACGTCCAGCGTGCCAGCCACCCTCCCTGTCCAGACACTGGGCCAGTGGGTGGGCAGAGGGACCATGCCTGGAGAAGGCAGCCGCATGGGCACCTGGGGCTCATTGCTGCATGAACTGTGGGGAACATCCCCTGATCCCAAGGGTCCTGGTTAGACCTAGGAGGCTCATCCTGACAAGGGGAGAGGGGAGACTAAAGGAACCCCGAGGTGACTTCTTGTGGCACAGGTCCCCCAGAATGAAGGATGCAAGGCTGGAAGGGCTGCAACCTCAGCCCCTGTCCCTTGAGTTCAGGGTGCTGGCACACAGGGACCTCAGGGAACCACTTTGAGGCTCCAATCAAGAGATACCCTTTCCAACCCTTCCTGAGGACATGGAAGCCAGGGTACGAGGACACATAAAAGAAGGAGATGTGCTGGGCTCTGGTGGCTGCCCTGGCCCTTAGAGCTCCCAGCTATGCTCTTGGCATCGTTTGCTGCTCCCAGGCCCAGGCTCATCCTGGCCCACCTGCTGCCCAGGGGCTGGGGAATGAGCAATGGGACAGAGAGGTGTCCCCACAGGCATAGCCCTGGGCTGGGGATGTGGTTGAGCTGGCAACTCCTGGGAGAGATAGCTGAGGCTGGGGACAGCCAGAAGTCATTGCCATGCTGCTGGCAGGCTGGAGGGTCACCTTGGGGCAGGGGGGCTCATCCCCATCTCCCAGCATGGCCAGGTGAGAGCCTGCGTGGGGACCCTGGTGCTCCCCACATCCTTGTCACCATCAGCTCCTTGGAGCTGGGTGTGTGCAGGCAAGCCTGTCCTGCCCACATACCACTTCGAGTTGTAGCTGAGTGATGCCCATGTGCTAATGATCCCATGCCAATGCCAGAGGCCCTCCACAGGCATTGGGAATGTACCCAGCCTTGGCAGTCCCTGACTGTGGCTCTAGCATCTGCATCCTTAGCAGCCAAGGGTGATTTGGGCTGGCCAAAACTGCAGTGTCTGGGATCAAGTGGGAAGGAGTGCAAGGCCAGCACCCACGTCAGGCTGGGCCCCAGACCCAGGCTGAGCCCCTGGTGTTGGAGACATTAGAAATCCCCCCTGGGGCTCTGAGCCAAAGCTACGGGGCCACTTCCCAGCGGGACCATCCTTATCCCATCCCTTGTAGATATGATGTGTTTTTTAGGTTCATTCAACACATTATTCACCTCGCAGAAAGGACGTGTTTTTTTAGATTCATTCAACACACCCTTCATCTTGCAGACCTGTTCCCAGGTTTGTTGTGGGGCTGAGCTCCCACTTGCATTCTCTCAAGGGTGGGAGGGCAGGTATCCCAAACCTTACCCCTTGCGTCCCTTTCTCCCTGTTCTCCCTCCTCCCAGGCTCTCTGGGGTGCCCACAATCCCCCTCCCACACGGAGCAGATGCCGCCTTCTCCCTCACGCTGTAGGTCGCATGGAGTGACCCCCTGCCCCGGGGCATGCTGACCCACAACCCGCTTGGCATCTCCAGTCTGTATATTTTGTATTATAACAATTATATGGGTAAAAAAACCCCAAACAAACAAACCAACCAATAAAATCTAACCACAGTCGCTATGCACACCACCGTTATGTTTTTGCATCTGTCAGCTGTCTGGCGTGGGGGTGAAGGGGAAATGCGGGACTGAGAGTCTCTGCAGAGGGTGGCAGCCTTTTTGGGGTGCTGTGGCTGTAGGGTGCTCTGCAGAGGTTGCACAGGGGACAAGGTGTGCGCTGAGCCTGGCCATGCCATTGATGGTCCTGTAAATACAGACTTTCCCCTGCTAAGAGGCCATAGGCATTTAGGCTAAAAAGCTCTTACACCAAGTATGTCAGGTCCCAGGAGTGAGGCTGTAAGGTATGTGAGATGCTGTTGGGTGAACCTGAGCTTGGGACCAGGTGGCCCTTGTTAGGATGTGGCATTTAAGGCTGAGCTAACAGGAAGATGGTCACCTTGAAGAGGTAGGTATGGACTGGGGAGGGCTTTACCTTAGGGACATGAACTCATGGGCAATCACTGGTCGTTGGAAAAGTGCAGCCTTGAGAACTGGGAAAAAATGAAGCAAAGCAAAGAAAAAACAAACATGGAAGAAAGAAACCAGCAGAACAACAAGGTCTGGACCTGACGTGGGACAGTGAAACGCTTCAGCTTTATACAGTCTGTGGTCCAGGAACTGGAAACTCAATGCAAAGAGCTGTCTGGAGACCAAAACATCTTAGAAGGATGAGCTCTGGCTATGGGGGGAATTACCACTGTGGCACTGGGAAAGTGACAAGTCCACTCTTTCTAAAGCCTCTCGCTCTCCAGGGATCTTTCTGAGCTGCTGCCCATCACCCAGGTCTGTGTATGGCAGTATGAATGGGCCTGGGCGCATCTTCCCCTCTAACACACTTTTCCCAGTATATCCTATCCCCTGAGCTCTGTTTGGCTGGTTGCTATTTTGGGCAATGATATCCAAGGGTGTGCCCTCTCATGGCACAGGGATGCTGTGAGCCACTGATGGGATCCCTTGGGTCCCTCTCCCCAGGGTGAAGGGCAGAAAAGGGGCTGAGGTGACCAGGGCTGAGCCAGGGCTTGGAAGTCCCTTGTCAGGAGGAGGTGGCATTTAAGGGTAACAGCCAAATCGGTGGGTTTATGATAAGAACAGAGATAAGAGCTGATGAGTCCTTGGAAAAGGGCAGCCTTGTGTTGTTTCCAGCCATCTTTTTCCCAGCTTTCAGAGGAAAAAATTAATAGCATCTATGTGGGAAAACAGCTGAGCAACTGGATGAGGCAGCTGATGCAGCCCGGCACAGTGATTCACTCCAGCATCCTGAATACTGCCTAGAAACACAGGCATTTTGTAAAAGGATGAAATCCCAACACTGGGAGAACTGTTACTGCAAGATTAGTTTGGCATGACCAAAGGTATGAGTACAATGCCAGCTTCAGGGTCCAGTCACTGCCCAACTCTCTATAGGGTGGTATGAGAATCCTGTTTATTTTCCACCCAAATTCTGTGTATTTCTCCTCTCTAATCCCTCTGTAAAGTCTTGTGTATCAATACAATTCAGCTAGTTACTATTTAGGGCAGCAGCACAGTTTATATTTTTGCTCTTTGAAAGGTTTAGCTTGAACCTGGTGGTAACCAGAGATTCTCCTTCACAAGGGGCTCTGCTGCAGCTTCTGGAGCAGGTACAGATGGAGCTGGAAATGCAGCCGTTTTGGGTTTCTTGTCACGCCAGAATGTCATCAGCGGGGATAAGCTCAAACGTGGTTGAAATGTGATGCGTCTGACGTGATGTGTGCGGGCTTTCTCCAGCCCCTCCTCCCCAGCCAGGTCGTTCAGCAGCTCTTTGCTCACTGGTTCCTTGTTGGCTGGTATCTGCTGCAGCTCCCAGTGCTGGCAGGGCTGGAAGGATGACCTCGCTGGCCTCTCTCCACAGCCACATGGGAGGTCATCTACTCAGCCCTGGGGTCTCTGACTCGTGCTCCCAATGCAGCTGGAAGTTCTCTCAGGAGAAATGCCATCTGACGTTAGACCCCTCCTCTGATTTACTGAGATCCACCTCAGCTTTGTATCCCATCTTTCAGCATCCTCGTAAGCCTCTTACAGGCATGGAAATACCTCCGACCGTAACATCGGCCGTGCTGTGGGAGGAGGGAAGGAGCGGCCGCAGGGGCTATCCCCTCGGCAGCAGCTCGGTCTCCCATCCACGCCACAGCCCCAGTGGATCCTGCTTAGCTTGCGGGGCACCGCCGCAAGTAGGTCACGTCTCACGGGAACCCGCGCACCCTTCGGCCCTGCGCACGCGCAAACCCGCCCGCGCGCCGCCAGGCGCATGCGCAAAACCGAAGTAAACACTCCACTCCCCATCCTCCCTCCCCCACTCGGCGCCGCTTCCCTACACAAACCGCAATGCGCATGCGCGTCATCCTCGCCACCACCTCCCTCTTCGGTCCCCGCGGCCCCTCGCGCGTGCGCTGCGGGCGCGCGCGGCCTCCCGGCGCAGGCGCCCTTGGGTCTCCGCGGCCTCGCCCCTCCCGCCGCCGGCCCCGCCGAGCACGCGCGGTGCGCGCCCTCCCGCGCCTGCGCAGAGTACGTGCGACGCCCGCCCCGTTCCCTGAGGAGCCTCCTGCGCTCCAGCCTGTTGTTCCCGCTCCGCCGTCCCGGCCGCCCGCGTCCTTCCCTTCCCTTCCCGCCGAGCCGGGCGCTCCTCCGGGCCCTCGCGGCGGCTCCTCGGAGCGCGGCGGCTGCGGGCGAAGCGGCGCGGACCGGTTGGGGCCGGTTCCCCGCGCAGGCGCAGCGCCCCGTAAACAGGAAGCGGCGGCCCCGGAGCGGCGCAGACAAAGGGGCTGCGGAGCGGTACGGACGGGACCCGGTCGGCTCGGCCCGGCCCGGCGAGCGGCGGCGCTGGCGGCGGGCGGCAGGATGGTGCAGAAGGAGGGGCAGGCGGCGCTGGAGGAGCCGCAGGGCAGCCCCAACCCGGCCGGGGTGCCCGGCGCCTCCTTAGAGCCGCCGGGCGCCGCCGCGGGGCCCGTCCCGGGGGGCGAGGAAACCGACACCGAGACGGAGACAGCGCTGGGCTCCCGCCGCTTCCTCTGTGGCGTCGTGGAAGGTGGGAGCTCTGGGAGGGGGTGTCCCCTGGGGCACGGGGGCTGTGGGAGGACGGAGGGGGGGAGGGGTGTTCGGTATCCGCGGGAGACCGGGGATGGGCTGGTCTCAGCTGGCGCTGCTGTCCCCGTCTCCTCCCCCGCCCGGAGGAGCCCGCTCGGCGGGGAGGTGCCGCGCCGTTCTTGGCCGGGACTCCGCCACAGCGGGGAGGAGCCGCAGCTCCCGGGCGGGGCTTCTGCCCCCGGGGCTTGGACTGGAGCGGGGAGCGCCCTTCGACGGCAGCTATGCGGCGGGGCGAGCGCAGGCCCGGCTCCCAAGCGCGCCCATGATTCCTCAGAGAGGCTGAGGCAGTGCCTCGCCTGCTGGTACGTGAGTAAAGGAGGTAGGATCGAGAGAGAGTGGAGCTACCGCGCGATTATCCCGGCTGTACGTGCTCTTTCTGCGCGCCAGAAGCTCAGATTCAGTTTCCTGAGTAGGGAATATGTGATTCCACATGCATGTGCTCTGTAATTAATATTAAATGCCCCTTGTTCTCCAAAGTGTTCTAGCTTATCATTTTAATTCGGCTGTGGGACAGTCCTCTGTCTTTTGACATAGTTGGCATCATTGAAAGGTTTAAATTGTTGCTGAAGCTGCAGAATAAAGTAACTTTTTTTGCATTTCTCACTAGTGACAGAATTTGTCTGCATTTCTGGCAGGTCGGTTAAGGTAGGTGGTTGAAAGCCAGCAAGAAAAATGGTTTATTCCCAGCATAATAGTTGGTTTGAAATCGTTCTGATTCCTGTGATGTGTTGCTATTTTTGTACCTATAATGACTTTCCAGTAGAAGAACAAAGTGATTAACAGATGAAATGGAGAGGGAAACAGGCAGTTTATCAAACTCAGTATCTGCATTGTTTTACAGAATGTCTTTTGTTTATATCTTAAAAAGAAAAGACTGTTTGGCTTCTGCAAATGTCTCTGTGTGAGCTGCATTAGGCCCAGTTAAGTCTTTATTTTTTAGCATCTACTAGGGCTTAGATACAGTCAGCATGGAGAAAGATCTCTTTACTTTGCTAATAGCTTAAAATTCTGTGAAGATAGAGGCTAAATTGAAAGCTTTGGAGACAGATATCAGTGAAGAGAAACACAGGTTGTAACAGCATGTTTTCTCATATTCCTGCTGATACATGTGGACCATGGATCACCTGTTCATCCAGGTTTATATTGGAACTACTGAGTATGCCGTAATTGTTTTTCTGGTGGTGCTAGTTACGTTGTTGGTCACCTCTGCATATATTTTGTTGCAGGTGTTCTTGAGCTTACTATGCATAAAACAAAGCAAGAAAATGGCCTCTGCCCAATGAAGCCATCAAACAGTGGTTAGGAGTTACCAGTCTAACGATAATAAGTGTACAGGAAAAAAAGGCATAGGGGAGTGTTTTAAAAAAAAAAAAGGCAGGCAAACAAAAAACCACCACCGACAGAAAAACAAACCTGTGGTGAATGAGGTTAATGGTAGTGAGTGAAAACATCTGTCTCGTTAGTGACTCAGGGAATTATAAGGTTAAGAGTAAAACAGCAATTAACTTCAGAAGTATAGGTAAATACTTAAAACATAGGGCAGTGGTTAACAGACTAGAGGGATGGTGAGATTAAAGCAGTGAGGTGGAGAATTTGGATCTTTTGTAGAAAAGGCAGAGGAGAATTGGCCAAATACTGGTTGTACACTCTGAGAATGTGAAGAGTTTATGACAGATATCAAATTCACTGTTTTGCAGAGTAATAAGAGCTAAGATTACTGAGTGCAAAGCTTTCATGCTCTGCCTCTAGGATGTCCTGGCTTTTAGTGATGGAGAATGTGGTAACTGGGACGAGGTATTTGGCATGATCTGTTGACTTTGTATCAACCTGACACACAGTCCTGATGGAGTAATACAAAACCAGGTCGATTTTCTGTTGGACAGAAAGATCCAAGAGTCGTCACTAGCTGGTGACAGTAGTAACCTA